CAGGGAAGTTTCTCGGAGCTCTCCAGCCACTTATTTTGGCTATGAAGAAAGCACCTGAAATTGCTAGTATTCTGGACCCAAATTCATCATGATAAGGCTTAACCTTTGGCACCACCAAAACATAAAATTCCACTCAGAGGCTGTGATTACGTATGAACTGGCATGGAAACGATCACTTGAGCTTACTGGGGTAATACTCCTGAGAGAATTCAATAAAAATCTGCTCCAACTCGGATGCTGAGCCTTTTTAACACCTGAGTTAGACACAAAACAATTGTATTAAAAAACCTGTACACAATGAAGCATTAAATGCAAATGTTGCTTTAAAAACAGAACAAAACCATTTTCCCCCATGGTATGAGGGTGTTACAAGTAACTAGGGAGATATAAATATCATGGTTATCTTTTCATAATCAAAATGTTATGAAAGAATTCCAATCTGTGTGTTTACCCCATATATCAACTTGTGTCTGACTAGCCATGAGCTCATTATTCAGATGACTTCTTCCCTCTGTTTGCAGTGCTAAACTGCACGTAGGGTTTGAAGTAGCTGAGGGAGCCACTACAAAGTCTAGGGACATGCCAGAGGGATTCTGAAAGGCAGAAAAAAAAGGAAGCCAGCAAACTGCAAAGTGACATCATGTTAAAACTTGTGGTGAGTGTTAGAGAGAACAAAAATTATTGTCCTGGTGTGACATTAGAGGCCCATCTACCCCATACTCTAGCTTAGAGCAGCAACCAGCAAATATTTGAAGACTATGAAAATAAAAGCAAGTGTCTAGTGAAAGTTCTTCAGAATACTCTCTGATAACTTCCAAAAACTTTCAGCTTAGGGACTTCCTAAGGCAGAAGTAATATCTCTGTATATAAGAGTCTTTAGCAGACTTTTCTTCCAGGAACTTATGTGACTGTTTTTTGACCACTTGTACTTTGACGGCATCCATAACATCCTGCAGCATCCACTGTGCTCTACAGTCTAATTACACGCATCTGAGAAACCACTTCCTTTGAATTTTTTTTGATCTGTCACCTAGTGGTTACATCGCTGCCCCCCACTTCTTGTTTTTGAGAGGCAGTGAACAACCATCCTTCCTGATGGCACTTCCTAACACAGACCTTTATCACATCCTCTCTTAGCCACTGCTTTCTCAAGGTGAAGAGTCCTAGTCATCCCAGTCATTTTTCACAGGGAAGCTGCTCCATACATCTCTTCTTGTTGCTCTTCTCTGATATTTTTCCACTTCTGCTACATATCTTTAATTTGGAAGACTGAAATCCTAATGTGGAAATGCACCACGAATTTCTACTGTGACATCAAGACAGTTTTGACTCCATTTCTAGTCAAGTCTTATTTTACCATGTATTTTTCTGATCATTAAATGAAGACTAAGCTGACATATTAATGAAGCTATTGGAACACTAAAAACACTTTCCTGGATACCAACCATCCAGAGTCCATCATGTCATACGTGCACTTCACATTTACCTACAATTTCCTACAAGGAGGGCCTGAGTCCCTCCTCCAGCTCTAGTTCTAGAGCACTAAGAGTCTGAACATATTCCCCTGTCCATAGGATTGTGAGGATGACAGCACACAATTGAATAGAAGGGAAATGTGCATAGTGTTCTGTTGTACAGAAGGTGTCCAATTTTCTGTTTTCTTCATTGGTACCATGGAGATTTGAGACAACAGGTTACACCAAAAACTCCTCTGCCAGTGGATGAAAGGTGAGGAGTGTTGCCACTCTGCTCTGCCACCATTACACACAATGTCACCACTCCTGAGGTATCACAAGACACTGCTTCTCACACCAGAAGAACTCTGCAATAACTCTCTGCAAGAACTCTCAACCCAAGCAGCTGAGAGCCATGTGTTAGAGTGAAGAACTTGAACTTGAGAATTTCTGACCAAGGTATGGAGGGTCCTTGGTTGGTTGGTTCAAGTTTGGAAGATTACTGGAGAAACTTTAACAGACGAAATGCATTGTTCAATGTTTTGCAGAGATTATTAAGAACACTTTCCTTTTCTTCCATAGACATTTGGCCTTTGCTATTGGCAAAGACCCCTTGCAAGTCCATTCTTGTGCTCATGCTCACTTGCATGCACAGTAGCAAGAACAAATAACTATCCCTGAGCAAACTTCAGAAAGACAGATCAATATACACGTATGCTTGACTTTACTTCAATATTTTATTATTTAATCTAGTATTAAAAATACTCCAGCACAGCTACTAAATAACAAAAAATATTCCATCAGACTTCTATCGTCTATCTTGTTCTGGTACTAATTTCTGGGCATTTCCTATTGTTTCTTTGCCAGGTCATGAAGCAAGACCAAATTCTGCTCTCTTCTGGTAAGGTCACTTTTTATACAGACAAATCCAGTGCTATCAGCACAGGAAGAGTAGCTGAAAGCAGCAGGAGTTCTGAGTTGTCTGATAACACAACTGAGAATCACAAAAGGTAGTGAGAGCTTTCTGTAAGCCACAGAGCACAACTGCAAAGCAGAACACTCCTTCTCAGCTGGTCAAACTCTGCTTCAAGCAGCCTGGAGGTCTCAAAGGGCAGCATCAGGTAAAGGGAAGTGACTGCACCACTGGTACAGAAAGTTGTCCTGAAGGGCTCCACAGGTCTTTAGGTATGTTATAGACCAAGTTTACCTCCATTGTGATCCACTTCAGCTTCACTGAGATGAGAAAAATCCTCTTCTATATTTGCTGCCACTACTGATAAATGTACAACAAAGGTAAAGCTGCTGTGGAAAAGCCAGGTTGTACAGAAATCTCTTTTAGGCAAAGTCCTTCCTGCATAAATCCACTCACAACAGTTACCAGTGAAAAGTGAGCAACGCTAGTGACCAGAGTGGAAACTTCTTTACCGAAACATCCTGGCATAGACATCGCCTAAGTGAAACCTTCTGTGCAAGGGAAGAAGTTCAGCGTCTTGGCCTGCCACAGAAACACTGATTGTATGTGATAAACAAAATACCTTTCTTCTTTTTAGGTTAGAAAACAGCCCTCAACAGTGTGTGTACTTTGAAGTTATCACTCACAAGAGTAACTTTCAGAGCTTCATTTTGCTTCTATGCATTAACATGTATCTTCTCCATTATATCACCATAGGTCCATCCTGTGGCATAGCTTTCTCAGTCAAAACAAGGAAAAACATTCTGAAAAATAACATTTAAATTCAACATTCTCCTTAATGTTCTCTTTTTCTTTTCTGAATCTAGAGCAATCTTAGTATTCCTGCATTACTTTAAATACATAATTGTACAGAACAAGCAAAAAATTATAATTCTAATATTGAAACTTTATATGGTGTACAGCTCACCGATAATGTGGCTTGTTTTATTTCACTGAATTGTTGCAATGACACTTAGCAACCAGATCACACCAGTGTTCATACTGCATCACACTATTCTTATATGCCCAAATTTCTTTTTCAGATTCATGTATGAGGGCTGATGACTCAGCAGAGCAGAATCAATAATGCAATGAGATGGATGAACCCCTGGATTGTTTATTGTGATCCCATTAGACTTCAGAGTCTACACAGCTCCAGCACGTTCTATGTTTACTTTTCCATTTCAAAGAATATTTATTTTTAGAAAGAAACAATCTTTTATGCTTGAGAGAAAAAAGTTAGAGGTATAGGGGAAAGATGAAAGCCCTTATTATCAAATAAAAATCGCAAAAACAACACAGCTCTGCTTCTATTTATTGTATTTAAAATACTTCAACATCCACCAACTCAGTAAGCCAAGTTTACCCATCAAAATTCTATATGTTGCACAGTCATATGAACGCAACTCCTTAAAACTAATCAATCAAAACTAACTAAAAGCCAAGCTGAAAGAAGTGGGAAAATACCAGACACATCATTACAAAAATAAAACCTAACGATAACTTTTTCAGAACAAGAAAGAGATCTGTATTTTTTAAGGGGATCTAAGAAAACAGAATTGCAATTCAAATCATTACTTGAAGCACTATCACAATAAAACCTCTACAATACTGATACAAACACACCTGCCAACAAAAAAGGACCATCAATAACCTCTGAAAACTGTTAAGAGTCCTTGCAGCAGTGTGACTTATTATCACACAAGGGACAGTTTTCTGACAAACCACTTCAGTTAAAGCTCTCTGTGGAAGCAACCCACTTCCAAAGGAGAGGAGCATTTTGGAGCAGGGGTATCTCTCACTATTGCACCCCGCCCTCCCCTGCCAAAAAAGCAGAAACAAAGTCTTTGAAGTTGTGGGAAAACACCTGTGAAAACATACAGATTTTGGAGAAAACTGGTGTGAGAGACATAAGGTGGAAGGTGTGCCATCACAGACATCTTGGCCCTGGCAAAAACCCTGACGTTTAAAGTGAGAATGACATTCCAAGAACAATAGTGAAATTTGCCAGTTCAGAGAAATGTTTATGCAATAAAGGGTGAAACAACTCTACCACACACACATTTCCTAAGCAAACAATCAAGGGCTTAAATACATCCCATAGTGTTTAACAAAGGATGGCATCCCTATTCTCAGGCTTGGAAGCTGCATATCAAGTTTTGGAAGCAGGGATTTTGCAGCCAGATTTGAAAACCTGAGAAATATTAACCTAAAGAAGGAATGCTGACTGACTTGTTATAGAGGAATCACCATGCATTTCGCTTTTCTTTTCAATACTTTCCACTGTCTATGTACCTTCACTAAAATAACAGCAAACAGAGTATCACTGTACAATATCCCAGCCTTTACGTGCCATACACAGGATCTGAATGGCCTCTGGTTTTGAGTCAAGTCATAGGCTGTCACAGGCAAAACCAGGAGAGAAGAAAAAGAGGACAAAATGATCAAGCTCCAGCAAAACAACCTGCCTTTTCTCCCACTACAGCTGAAGCACTAGTGGCAAGAAACCATCTTCTACACTCCAAAAGAAACAAGTTGTGCCAGCAGATAATGATCCTCACATATAAGCTGAAATTCTTTATTTTTTTTCCCGCTGTGGTGGCAAAACTCTCCCTGATTGCTTATGCATTTATTTCATCTTTTATTTAAAAGAGTTTCCCCTTGTTCATCCAGGCCAAGGGCCAGCTTCTCTTACATCTTCTTTCCCAAAGAGTGCATACTGTTCCACAGTTGCCCTGTCAGGCCCTTCCTGCACTGCTCCTCCTGGTGCTGGTGCTCTGCTTCATACTCTCAGTCATCTGCAATTCAAGATGGACCTAAATAAAAATTATTTCCTTGCTCAACTGCATCACTAAGCAGGACACAGAAAAAAACATATATAAATGCAGTGATACTATACCAGTCTTGCTTTAAGTTCTACAAGTATATATATTTAGGATATTGTATTTTGATATGTATTCATACATCTGTTTTGAAAACAAAGTTACTTGTGTTCTTTACTCTCCTCTCTATCAGTTGGTTAAAAAAAAAAAAAAAAAAGAAGCATACCTGAAACCACTGCAAAACTGTCTAGTACAAATACTGTCCAAAGAGGAGTCTCTGGGCTGATTTCCTGTATGTAAATGTGCTCAGCTGAAAAAATGTCCAGGGCATGATTCCCAGACTATGGTACAGGAAAAAAGAGGAGTTCCCTGGCTTAGTTACCATCAGAAGGAAGACACAGGGATTCATGCAGGGAAAAGAGGCCAGTTCATGACTCTCATATGTGTGCATACATATACACAGATGTGCAGGCACATGCATATGCACTCCCTTCCCTGCCTTGCCTCTGCACTGGTGGGGTGGGTGAGCTGGCGCAACATCCCCTCAAGGGAACAAGCTCTTGGAAGATCTGATATGACATTTTTACATTCAACTGACTGCATGCAACATTCCTTTAAAAAAATATATTATCTGTTTGCTCGCTTGAAGCGTCACAAAGATAATATTCACGTCTGTGACCCTGACTGTCTCTGGTCAGGAGGCAGAGAGATTGTGCAGAGCGTGTTGCCTTCCAGCACCCCCGGGATGCCTGCCAGGGAACAGAGCTGCTGTCCCAGAAGAGAGGGTCAGATCCTCCAGCCTTCGGCTAACACTGCGAGCAGTCCCTCTGGTGACTACTGAGGAGGTGAATGGCACACACAGGGGACTTGGCTTGCACAGCCCCACATCTGTGTGGCTGACGTGCAGAGCAAAAACTCCAGTGCCCTAAATCCGGGAAAGAGAATTTTTTCCTTTAGAGAACCTTATCCTCAGATCACTTGTCTTTCCATTTCTTCTTTATCATTTTTGACCTCCAAATTCCTACACCACCACCCTCTTTCAGCATCTACCAAAACATTCATATCTGTTTTCTACATTGTGGTTACATGTCCATGTGGGCTGAAAATCTTTTAAAGAATCTTATTTAAACACAGCTTCATCATTCAGATACTGTTTGGGCAGTGAGCTATGCAGAGCCAAGCAGCATTACAGAATCTTACTTCAAATCCTGTTTCCACTACCGGAGCACTCATTTTAAAGTGAATCTAAATTACTGCCTTTCCCATAAAAACTTGCTTAAGTGCATTTTAAAAGAAATGTTGCCAAGTGCAGAAATGCAACCTCTGCCCTTCAAAGTCCTTGAATTAAAGTTTGCTGAAGGTTGCCAGATAATCTAGGGTAGAATCAGTCTGTGTTTGTTCAGCCCTTCTGCTCTCCCACCCAACATGCTCTCCTGGAGATGGGGTACCTGATGGGCAGAACTGCTATTTCGCCTGATAGGGCTGATCTATTCAACACATCCACCATCATTTGCCTCTACACCAGGAGGGACACAAGCTAACAGAAAAGATGATCATCAAAAGCATCAAGTGCATTTTTCTGTGTCTTAAGCTCATCCTGTCATGACAGTGGTCTGTATAATACCTCCTGCTGCCACAGACCATGGCCACAACTGACCGTGTAATGACAGTAATGAAGGTAAGTTTGATGTATGAGTATACAACTCCTTAATTTTATAAGCTTGTCACAGAAAACATGAAAGGCTTGAGATGCAAGCAGATTTCACCTTTTTTATTCTGAACTTTTTCTGAGACTGCCATTTTTATTTAAGTCTACTCTGTAAAGGTTAAAAGTTTTAAAGAAATGTAAGGCCCTACTAAGCCCAAGAGTGGCTACCCAATAGAGAGCACCAAAATATATATTATCCATTCTGCAGCCCACATGCTCCTCCTCTCACTTCAGAAGGCAGGTAGCCCTTCCAGGGCACCCAGAATTTCTGGCTATGTCTGATCAGGAGAGCACACATTAGATCAGAAAGCCTCTTAAAGTCATCCAGGGAGTTTCTCTTCTGTGCTGTCAGAGGGTATCTGCCTTAAGGACGCACAATAAACAAAACTGTGGCAGCTTAGCAGTCATTTGTACAGTTTTTCCAAACTACCTTTTTCGAGTTCTTAGATCACCAAAATGCCTGTCTAACAGCCACCAAACAATTTTTAAAATATTGTAAAATCACATATCCATTACAAAATATGAACTTGTGCAATTTTGTTGGCTTACTTCTGTTTAGATAATACAGCTGCATACAAATTGCTGTTGCATTTTAATAAAATTGTAATGTTAATAAGGTCCACATGGAAAGCACAAGTAGCTATAAATTTGAGTAGGCATGGACAGGAAAAAGGTCTATGCTAGACCAGAAAACATATCAAAAGAATATTGAAAGTTAGTAATTCAAGCAGCAGAATGAATGGCTGACAAAAATTTAAGCAAACACTTTGCCTCTGTACTCACTTCTTCTATTATCTTCTATTACCTAGGGTGAGCCCTCTACCATGCTTCCACTGCACCTAGTCTTGGACTTTATAAAGAAAGCTACTTGAAAAGTACTTTCTGAAAGGGTAATAATATCTTTTTGCTGCCATAAGAAATTCTGCCTTACAGAGAACACTGCAGGTAGGAAGATTAAAAAAAATTAAAAATCAATCTAAACTCAGACCCACTATTCAACACTGCTTTCATTTTCTGTTTTGTTCTCGCTATTTCTTTTTCTTCCCAGAAATATTCTTGCCAGCTGTTTTGCCGTCTCTCAGTATTCCATCAACAACCAAATATCACCATGTGGTGCTGGATCTCAAAGGCAGAATTAAGATTAACAGTGTTATGATTAAGTGCCAGCTGAAGAGACACAGCCACAAAACCAGACTGTGGCTGACAGCTCATGGCCCCACTCAAGATGCCCCTGAGCACTGAAATTTTCACCATCTTCCCCCCAGAGCCAGGAAAGGGATGGCACTTCCAGAAAGAACAGTCACCTTTGGATGACAAAAAGAGTTTCGACACTGAGACTTACGGGCATTGTCTGGTTCCACAGTGAAAAAACATAATTCCTATGCTGATACATGCATAGGAAACCTATACATGGAAAATGCAGGTCAGATGAAGGCCAGTGGGATAAGGACCACAGGTATGCGTAACTATGGCATTCTCACGCCCAGTATGGAAAATATTCTACAAGCTGGCACATTCTTCAAATAGTTTTTCAAAATAATTATTATCACTTAGACAAGTATAACTTACAACAAGCTAAGCAAATAAAACAAATAAATTCCCTAGTTATGTCCCATAACCTCACCTACTTATCTCAAAAAGCAAGTCAATTAGCTTTACTTCCAGTGCTCTTCACTGCCAGATCAAGGTTGCTATGGGGCACACAGTATTTGATTAAAGCAATTATATGTACTGGCATATACATGTATTTGTTTTATGCCATGGAAATATCTCTACGCTTTTCACAGAAAATGGATATAAAAGTTACACATGGAAAACCCAGTACCTGTGAATGCCCTCCTCCCAAACTGTAAACATAGCAGGAGACGTCTAATGTTTGTTTGAAAACATTTGCCCTAAGTGATAATCCTGATGGAAAAAAGGAAGTAATTTTGCTTACTCCTTGCCTTCAGGTGGCTCATTAAAACACTTCTTATGAAAGAAAGAGGATATGATTATTTCTTGACTTTATGCTGAGGTTAAACGTCTTTGGGGAAGGATCCTGGCAGCAAAAGAGTGTAAACTCAATTCTTTGTTTCAATTTAGGATTTAATTTGTCAGCAAAACCAAAGTTCATAAAGAAGGCAAATTTTGACAAATTGCAACTGCCATGAGCTCTGCTAAGAGCAGGATGTAACATGAATGTGATTCTTCAAGAGAACAAATTATAATCATTGCATCCAAACAAAAAATGCTTACAATAATAAGTTTGTTCTGTGGTTTGCCAACTCTTCAGGCTGGGTACTAAGGAAAATTTGCTAACCTCACATTCATAAGATAAAGTGATCTGAAGCCCATCTACTACATGTCAGCAGGACAAGATGGCAGTTGTCCTGTTGAGTTTTTTGGATTACAGTTAGCCTTCTCTCGCACTATAACTACAATACCTTAAATCTGATCACACCTCTAAACAAGGAGGTAATATAAGCAAAGCAGTTTTCCAAATCTCAGAAACCTTACTCACCTGAATAATTTGCACCAACAGAGAAAATGTTTGCTTATAAAAATAGTAATTTATTTGTGTATCTAAAATAAAACACAGCACACACACTAGGTACAGACTAAGAATGTTTGCTGCTTATTTCAGCTATAGTATACTCATAAAAGCAAATACTTAAGATATTCTATGTCAGGTGGATGGGTAGCAGGGTAGAGTCTGCAGGGAAATTACATCTGCTACATTAGTATTACAAAGACATCAGTAAATAGCTGGAGATGTTCAAGGCCTAAACACTTATCAGACACTGAAGACTGGGATTTACCTAGCTAACTTTATCAACTGGTCCCCTAGACTTCTTTACAAAGTCTAGAAAAAACAAACTTCAGAATGAGATTCATTTGATGTCCTTAAGAGACACACTTCAGAAATGCCAACTTCCTTCTCCTTGATTCCTACAAAAGGATGGCAGGCCCATACTTGCAGAGCTGTACCACAGGTGCCTTGAGTTGAATGCTGCCTGCCAGGCTGCTCAGGCAGGGCCAGCACCCCACAGGGGCAATCTGTAACCCAGCAATCCCCTTGTCAAAGCAGGAGAGATGAGCTCTGCTGTGGTTCTCACAGCATCAGCTGCTCTCAGCATTGCAAGCTCCATCATCACATCATGGGAGGCTTCACTGACTTATGAAAAATCATAATGAAATCTTACTACAAACTGCTCCCTGTCTCCTGTAATTAAATGTACTTCTTGCCCAAGAGGGAGATCTACCCCATCTCTGTCTTCTTGATGCT